AAAATGATTTTTCCCATTTTACCTTTGGGCGATCGCCCAAGCATAGCTAGGGCGCGTGCCTCACACAATTTTGGAGTTGGAGGTCTCAGAAGAGGAGGAGGCGTGCTCCTTCTATCCTAGGGTTTTTTCATATAGCCTTCACCAATTTTGTAATAACTTTCGCTTTCAATATGCCATTGAGGCAATTCAATGTACATTAGAAAGAAGACCCAAAGTGTTACAAATCTTATTGAAATAACATTTTTACATTTTGAACGTTTGCTATGCCAAAAGTGGTCTTATTATAAGACTAAAAATTCAAAGCATAACTTTTTTCTGCTGGAAATTGATGTGTGATAATACTTTGACTATATTTCACTATTTTGACTCTTTACTCACCCAATTGACCTGTAGCATATGTCTAATCTTTATCTCGAGGTTCAAAATAACTTTTGAATATTTACACTTTAGTTCCTAAACTTTGGATCTTTAAAATTGAGCCATTTCACCATTTTTCCAATTTCACCATTCTTCTATATTTTTAACTTGTTTTCTCTAATTCTTCATCAAATCATGAATTTTAACTATGAAGCACAATGCATAACAAATTAGGTAATATTGCAATCAAAGAACTATAAAATGTTATTATTTAAGGGCCCCGAATAATTGTATAAAATATACTTAACAAACCCCCCAAAATTGAACATTTGTTTGTCCTCAAACAAAGCCACAACCTAACTTGAAACAACATACAAGCATGCAAAAATATTTAGCTAGCTTACCTAACATTTAATTTCAAAATTGAAATCCTGACATTAAGTCTAACTACAGCTTCAAGATTACAATACAAAAATCAAAGTCTCCTTTTCTAGTATAAAATCAACATATGTGTGACAAATTAAGCATAGCATCATGAATTCACTAATGGTTCCATTCCCGACCCTCAACAATCAAATGTGTTCTTATCCTCACTTGTGAGATTTACACACCACAAACTTGTTCATGTCGCTCTTTCCAAGTGTGTGATCTAAAGTTGAATTTTATATGATCATCACCTCTTTAGTTTAGATAAATCTCACTAATTATAGTTCAACATGTCAATACACAAGGATTCTCCTTTAGTTTTGATTGTTTCAATTTCCAAGACTTAACTAGGCTAATATCCCCTTATCAAAACTCAAAATTCCTTAAATTAGTGTTTGAGACATAACCAAGGTATTTTTGGTGCATCTTCTACTTAATGCAACTGGTTTTTCCTGGTTTTTTATATTTTTAACATTTTTTCCCTTTATTTACAACCTTTTTTACAGGTATAATAACTTAAGTCATAAAGACAATGAAGGGAAATTTTTAACTGAAATGTTTTTTATATTTTGATTAGTGCAATGTCCCTAATTAAATACCTATCCAAGTAAATCAATCTATAACTTGAGATTTTCACCCAATTTATTCTATTGACTTTAGACAATCCACACAAGATTTTTAATTTTACACATGAAATCCTCATTTATCTCAACAACTTCCTACAGTAATAAAATCCTCCCAAAATATTCTAAATTTGGTCTAAGAATTTAAAATATATTGATTTTGGGTTTAACATCTATGGTTCATTATTTCAACATATCCAATTATGAAATCAACGCATTCCTACATAATGCTCAACTTAATTCATGTACTCAATATATATCAAATTTCACATGGAAAAGCAAAAATTAACCTAAGCATGTAATCTATTCACAATTGATAAATCAAATCATAATTCAATGTATTCATCATTACCAGTCAAGCCAACTAACACACACAAGCACACTAGAAAAAATATTTCTTGAAATTTTCAAAATTTTCAATTTTTTGAATTTTTCTAAAATCTAAAGCAATAAATCATACACAACAAAAGAAAACTCATGTTTTCCACTCCTAACTTAAACTAGACATCGTCCTTAATGTCTTAAATTCTAAGTCTGCATCTAAAGGGGGTAAGGAAGAAAAGTGTTAGGCTTTGAAGTTGTTGGCAATCTTTAGAACAAAAATATAGTTATAAAAGAGTTTTAAAAGTCAAAGAGTCATTTGTTAGGTTGTATACATGAATTAAGAGTCCTTGTGTTCGATTATGGAACAAGAAGAAAAAGTTATCGGTGCCAAATTGATGCTCGAGCTTCCTATACAAAACCAAGGTCACCTGCCTATCGTTCGTCTGGCCCTAGAGTGACGGTGTTTTCACTTGGTTTCTTTGTGATTAAATTTTCATGCTCTTTTTCATTAGTTGATATCTTCTTGGGTTGAATGAGCACCCACAATCCAAATCCTCATACAATTTCAAGTCTTCATCATCATAGTTTTTAAATCATGCCCAGGACAGATCGACACATTGGATTGTCATACTAAATTCAATGGCAAATCATCCTTATCAAAGTTTGCAAATGCATCATGTCTAGTCATTTCAATTTGTTGTAGGGTAAAGAAGTCTCACATGTATGTCTTCCTCATCATCGACAGGTGGATTATATCCTGCCATAGCAAAGACATCTCTCATGTCTTCATCAGCATGTTGTCGCATATCGAAAAGACGGCAATCAATCATTGCAATGTATGTTGCTACTTCATTGCTTCTCTCCGTTCCCCATCAATGAAACCAAGAAAAGTATGTAATGTAGCTAAAAAGAAAAAAGAAAGATTTAATTAAAGAGGTAATAAACCAGAAACTAACTAAATAACTAAATTCCATGATAAAAGTGCAAAAACCTTATCATTTTTATTTTTATTTTTATTTTATTATTCCACAAGTGTATGGATTGTGATAAGTAATAAAGTGGACTTGATTTCAAGTATCAATCCCACGAGGAATAAATTCTAGCCTAGCTTAAATTAACCACAATATAATCGAATGTAAACACATAATTAATTAGGTGAGATAGTGATGATATTAATTATCTAAATCCATAATCATTCTAATCTAACTCTAACATAACTAAGTGGTAGGAAGAGTTTATGAATCTTCATTAATTGAATAATCACTAGGACCCCGTAATCCCTACATTCATTCAGCTTAACATCAGTTTTACAATTAGACAACAATTATTTCATATGAAGATCAACGTTCTTAATTTATCTTATAGTATCTTATGAGTAAAATTAGATATATTCTCACATATGACCTCATAATATTATTATTGCAAATGCTAACATGTAATGATGTATTAAGTCATAAGATCATCGTTCGGATTATGCAAAGCATAGATGTCTATAGTACCCTACAACAAATGATATGACACGATATCTTTCCTATTTCTTATCCCAACTTCAATAGGAATCACACATGAAATCATTTTGGTGGTCAATTAATTAAAAACAGTAAGTTTATAACAAACATTCAAATTAAATAGTAGGCTAATGTTGAAATCATATAACCAATATCAAAACTTCATAAAGTAGGATTTGACGTTATCTAAAGATCTATACAACTAGTCAATAATCATAATTATACAATAACGTCGATTAAATAAATACGTCTCTCAAAAGTAAAGAATTTGGAAGAGAGACGAAAAGAGTGTTGAATCTTGAATTCATTCGAATGGTTTGTGATTTTCTTCTTCTTCTTCTTCTTCAATCCCGAGCAATAATTGGGATGTAGACATTTGCTTTTTAGAAAAGATGTCTATAATTCTTGGATAAATTTCTAAATTTCACTCCAATGGCTTTCTTGATTATATGGAATACATGTATATGAGCCTCCTAGCTTCGTCTCCTTGTATTGTAATGAAATGTGCTGAATCTTGAATTCATTTAGTGGTTCGTGATTTTCTTCTTCTTCAGTCCCAAGCAATAAGGATGTGGATATTTGCCTTTTAGAAAAGTCCTCTATAAAGCTTGAATAAATTTCTAAATTTTCTCTCCAATGGCTTTCTTGATTATATGGAATACGTGTATATGAGCCTCCTAGCTTCCTTCCCTTGTATTGTAGATGAAAGAACATATTTATTAGACATAATTATGTCAAAATCTGTGTCCCAATTGGTTTCCATGAAGTGAATGATTAAAATAAGGAAAGTAGGTTTTCCCGGCCAAAATAGGAATTGTGATCACATAGCATGAAGTGAAAAGCCAGAATAGGAGTTACAATGAATCACCTCCTATTGCCCTCATAAGTCTTCTGATTGATCATTGATTGCAATCAGACTGATTACCAATTACTTCGAATCATCTCCAATTTAGCTTTAAAAACGTCTTTTTCATTTCAATTGCATCCAAGTGCACTCAAGTCGGGGTTTTTCCTATAATAAGTGTATTTGCACGCAAATTAGGAAAATATTTGCTCAATAAATCATAAATACGCAAGTGAAAAAGCTCCAAATAAATGTATAATATGTTCTTATCAACTAGCATTATGAAAGCTTTCCTTGTGTGCTCAACTCCTCCTTGAAGCCTTGCTATGCTTCAATTGTATGCTAACAGTTCTTCCTTATATCTGTGCACTTACACTTAGAGTTCAAATGAGTTCATGATTATTGTAGCATGAGTACAATGTACAAATGTACAAAAAAAAAATTGAAGCATCTGTACCTGTATAGAATATAAATAGCAACACCAATTCCGTGTGAATATTAAAGTCTATCTGGTAGAGATTTTATTGAACCATTTTTTCTTATACTCATTTTCAACCATATATTCTTCAAATAAAATAATTTTGCACATAAATCCGTAACTTTTTCCTACTTTTTAACCACATTACCCAAAAAATTCATTTTTCACAAAATCTATTCTCAAAAAATCCACATTAAATAGACTCTAACACGGATTCTTTCAAAATGCACGTCATACCCATGCCTGTTGATAGCTGATTTGTTTTGGTCAATACTCATTAGCCACCGATAATATTGTCCCAACTTAGTGTTCAAACATCATAGAAGACTAATGCATAGCTCTTGGAGCTTCAATGGAGAAACATTTCATTTTATTTGTTGAAGATAAATGACCACCAAATAAGCACACATGGTAGGGTGAAGAAAGCAGGGAAATGCTAGTGATATAACTCAAGCACTTTCTATTTTCAAAGTAGCAGTGGGGATTTCTAAACATGAATCCCCCAAGTGTAAAAATATCACCGCAGTCGGGCTATTGTTCATGATTCAACCAAGTTATCAAAGTGCCAATCAAGAATTTTAGTGAGTACAAATATAATTCATAAGCTTCAGAATCACAACCCATAGAGGGGAAATATCATTCAGAGTTGAGGGCTTTTTAATTTACAAACACCTTGGTTCTTTTATCAGTCACAAATCAATGAAACTACGTGCCTGCTGATTTCTTGAGAGTTTGGTGAGTGAAACCCCGTTAGAATGCTGAAGTGCCCACTGAAGAAAATCCAGCAGCCTTGTGCTCTTTCAAAGTGCTTGATAACCAGTCCAAGCCCTCGTATAAGCCATCTCCTTTGAGAGCACAAGCCCCTTGTATGTGCCATTTTCTGTTTTTAAGATCGTAGAGACCCAGGCCTTCACAAACTTCCATTGGGGTCATTGCTCCTTTCTGAATGTAACACAAATCTATCATTCGATAACGGACTATAACAACAATCCAAAGACATAAATGCTTAATGCGTAATGATATTCAAACAGCAGTGCCAGTGATGCGGGTAGACATTATATCACTGTAACCAGGTAAATGAAAAGCATCAATCCTCAATATACTTGATCCAGATATACTTACTTTGACTTTATTGATTGGTAAACTAATAGTAGGTATCAAGCCACTTACCATGTCTTGCTTGTTTGCAAACACCAATATAACAGCATTGAGCATGAAAGGATCTTTGATGATTGCCTGAGTAAAGAATAAAATGAAAACTATGTCACAACCGGACAACTCGAGTCTAAATTATCAAACATTCATAAAAACCACCTGAAACTCTGCCTTCGCCTTTCCAATTCTCTCGCGATCCAAAGAATCCACAACATAGATCTGTATAAGAAAGAGCCACATAGACAATGAGTTAAAAAGCATTATGGGGAACTAGGTTCACTTTGATCCACAAATTATAGATAGTATACTGAATCAAACAACCATAAACAAGCCAAAACCGCATTGCATATTAGAAGTCTTCATTACCATCCCAAAAAGTGTTCACTATTCTAAAATTAGAAGAAATTGTTCATTTCTCGCAAACCATCTGAGCAACCTCTCCTCCCCTTCTCTCTCTTCCAACAAAGATGTTCCCTCGTACCAACGTTCATGTTTTTCTCTCACCATGTGCTGATTAGTTGAGTACATCATAATGATAGTTGCTTCAGACACAGCATCACCCATTAGGCCCCCTTTTTTTTCCAAATTTTAATGTTTGGAATAGTGTTTTTTTGAAGAATGTGATATTGAAAAAGAATGAAAAGTTTTCAATTTACGTGTAATATTATTTTATGAAGGATTGTGTGGTTAAAAATAAGAGAGGAAAAAAAAATGAAAGAGAATGGGGGCCAAACGGGGGCTAGATTTGTGGAGGTATTGTCACCCCTCGAAGGTAAGAACATGGATAGTGGTGTTGATGAAGCAATAAAGATCAGTGAATAAGGGTAAAATGGCTGCTTTGAGTGGCGGGTTGATACGTTGGCGATGGTTGTTCTGTGGAAGCTCTGTTAATGGTGAAAACTATGCTTTGGGGTCAGGATGTCAATAGTTGTAATGCTTTACTTGAGGGGTGCAGCAGAGAGTATCTTGATGGGGTTTTGTTGTGGTTACACTGTTTTTTCATGGGTTTGTGGCGGCCATAACAGTAGTTTGCATAACAAATGGTGACATCATTGTGTTCTATTAAGAACATTCTGGAGGTTATGACAATTATGGGGTTTCTTTGTTTTCTTTAAAGCATGAATTAATTGGATTGGCAGCAGAAGCAAGTTTCACAGATTAATTGGTGGCAAATTAAGGAGATAGTCATGTAAGCTGCAGAGGTGATTTTCTGGTAGATAGGTGGCAATTTCAGTGGTCATGCTTAGAGGTAAGTGGGAAAGAAGGGATATGTAAGGTGAGTTGACAACTATACATAATCAGAAGCAATGGAAAAATTGTGAAATTACTGAAGCCAAAGCGTTATTGTGAAACTCGCATAAAATAAGGCCAGGACATGCAATTTCAGGTTTAAGAATTATAAAACATATAAATAATATCTTACCAGCCCATCAGTATTATTAAAGTAATGCCTCCATAAGGGCCTTAATTTTTCTTGTCCTCCCACATCCCATACTGTGAAAATCACATTTTTATACTGAACCTTCTCCACATTGAAACCTGCACGGAAGCAATAAATATGATTATTTTCTAGCGGTCTTAAAGATTTAGATACACCCATGCATACACATTGATATATATTAAACTCCGATGGCATGTCATTAAGGAACACCAATATGTAAAACCCATCTATGAACACATTAAGATCTAACTAGCAGCTAAAGACCAGACTTACTGGATCCACTGAGAGCATGCCCCATTAAACTCTATGCTCAGCTCCTAAACTCCTAAGAAATACCATCAGGGCTTTCAGTGATTCTCAAGTTAATTCTCATGAGAGGTCAAAAATGACAATACAAATTTTCGTAGGCAATCAGGAATAAACTGGGATATCCTTAATCAATTATTCCAAGATTTACAACACTATGCAAGATCTCATGTGCAAGCAATACAAGAAACTCAAAGATAGAATCAAGCTGAACACACATCAGGTACAACTGTACAAGTGATGTATCAATGGAATTCTCTGGTTTTACAATTCTGGTTTAACAACCATTTTCTGGATAAATGTATCTCCAGGCAAGAATATATCATTATCATAAATTGTTAAGTACTGTCAAGGGTGTACTAAATGTCTGTTCAAAATGCTTCCCATGTATCAATGCGTTCCTACGTCTGTAACAGCTGCAAATGCACAGGAAGAAATTACAATAACATCTAGAGATTTCGACCTCTGACATTCAGACATCATATGCTTTGGGATTATTATAATATGACTTTTACTGCATTCAAACGGTGTAACTATTACACAAGTCCAATACCAAGACTAGTTTCAGAAGCATTCAGAGGATTGTGCCATTTGCAGAAAGGGAGGTATATTGAAGTTTACTGCATGCATAAAACTATTGTAACTATGCATAATTAACAGCAACATAAATCTATAGTACACAGCAAACTTTATGATTTTAACCACATGTTGACTCAAAGATATGCAACAGATCATTAGAACCCTTTGTTAAACTAGAAGAAATTGAATTATTCAAGACTATGAAACGTTTACATAGGAAAATATTTTATAAACTGTAAAGCCTAGAATGTAACCCTAACAAAGCGAAGACTAAACTACCCTTCATAAAGAACCTAGATTACAATTATAACAAACACCTCATCTCAAACTCATGATCTAAGCATAAAAGAGTTTTGCCAAGAAGAAAATGAAACGACTCCATGTATGCTTCACCCGATCTGCTAACTCACTGAACAATGTAAGGTTTGGTCTCTCTTGTTCGAATTACACTTCCCTTATACATCTGGACGAGAGTCCCACGGTACTCTCCCTCCACGCAGGATTGAGACACGTTACCAGTCCATGGGCTTAACTCTGAATTATCAAACCAGCTTAACAAGACGAGGACTACCAAAAACAAATACATATTCTCTGCTCACAAGTCTTCAACTTCATTGTGGAAGCCAAAACAACAACAAAACATATCCAAATAAACAAACCAAGCGAATAAAAGTCCTATTTCCAGATAAACCAGATGCATATTCCAAATTTCATATTCCAGATTGACTGGACCAAAAATACCAAATTCCTTATTCCAGATTAACTGAACCACAAATTCCAAATTTGGAAACAAACAAATTCCATACCAAATAAGTTCCATAACAATTGGAACCAAAATCTAACAAATTTCAAACTGTTGGACATAACTTACCCCCAACTTTCAAAACTAACTAGAAAGATCTCAAATGCTCAAACAAACAAACCGGTTCAAGACTTGATTTTTGTTTATAACATACTTGAAGGAAATGCACTAAAGGAGAAAGAAAATGCATGACATACTCAAAAACAAATGCAAACAAAGGAAAACCAAAAGCAGGAAGCTTGGAAGAAAGAGAGTAGAACTTCAAGAAATTGCCAAAACATCCGACAACATTAACCAAAAAGTCCAAGAGAATGACAATTCCACAGGCCCCAAAGGAGGAAATCACGATATTAAGCCCAAAAATCATAAAAAGCTCAGCAAGTCATCAATTGCAAGGCCCAAGCAAATAACTTCATGCAGAGATTATTCAAATAACAGACCACGTGATTAATTACCCAAGAGAACATACAACTTCAGCACCAAGGGAAGCGACCAGGCCAAATAGCAGCTCATATGGCAGTGACATACAGATGGGTAGGAGACTCACAATCACACCAATCCACCAAATCTACTTTAACCATAGAGAACAAAATCCCAAAAAGATAATCTCCATAGTTCAGGTCCAATATAGTTCAAAGTAAACCTTTATATCGAGCCAGACAATCTTTGGGGTCCCAAATCTCTTTCCCTCAATTGGGCCCATCAAATTTCATAAGTTGAGAATGCCATCCAAATTGTTATTTCCATGGGACCTGTATTACTGCTCCCAATCCATCCATATTGACTGAATTTCTACCAAGGTTTATATAAGCTGCCACACCGTCCAAACAAACAAATTGATGAAACGAAACGATGACCAGCAAGATTGCCTATCAAAATCAACTCTTGAACATGTGAAATCAAACTATGATGCTTTATTGTTGCCAGAACAAGTGATCTACACCACATCTAATAGAGATAAGACGGATGCGCAACAACCATCATCAACAGCGCACACACCAGACTCTAAGGGAGAAAAGCCATGATTTAACTTTCACGATGTGTGTAGCCAGATTCAAGATGTGGGCTAGCAAGAAACAGGGAAGCAAATAGAGGAAGGCAGACAAAGAAATATGGCAAAGGCGAACAAGAAACCAAATTGCCAACCCAGCCAAACTCTAGGGTGCATCAAGACATAAACCAAAAATAAAAAATCAGAAACAGGATCATCAACCATCATAACAGCTTAAGGAAAAGATTTAACTTTCACGATGTGTGTAGCCAGATTCAAGATGTGGGCTAGCAAGAAACAGGGAAGCAAATAGAGGAAGGCAGACAAAGAAATATGGCAAAGGCGAACAAGAAACCAAATTGCCAACCCAGCCAAACTCTAGGGTGCATCAAGACATAAACCAAAAATAAAAAATCAGAAACAGGATCATCAACCATCATAACAGCTTAAGGAAATAGGTAAGTGGTGGCATCAAGACATAAACCAGAAATAAAAAATAAGCAACGAGGACATCAACCAATACAATAACTAAAGGAAAAAGGCTCGTGCCGCCACCACTACCACCAGACTGGACTGAGCCACCAACAGAAAAAGCCATCTGCTCACTAGTAGAAACAAAAATCAGATCCACAAGAACAAAAGCTTAAACAGCGTAACAAACCCCTCTTGGTCTCAAACTCAAAAGCAAACCTCCAACAAAACTAGAAAAATGGAAGAAAGGTAACTATTCGAAGAGTCCAGATCTGCAATTTCAATGACCGCTAAACTGTGTAAAAAATAAACCTATGAACAAACAAGAGGACTCTGAATAAAAATGAAAGTTAATCAGACTAGTGGCAACAGGCCGCTCATCGGAGAACGGAAGAGACTCTAATGTAACCAAGACTGAATGAAACTTGCTCCAGTACCACGATAAATTAGAAGATATTCAATATTATAAAACGTTTAGAAAAGAGACTATTTATTACTGTAAAACACTAGAATGTGACCCTAACAAAAGGAAAGAAAAAACTAACCTTTATAAAGAACCTAAATTTAAATGAAATCTATCATCATATGAAGTCTAAAGACAATCATACCCAATAGTTGCAACATGATGTCAAATTATTAGCATTAAAACGACAAAAAAATTTATTTCCTAATAAATTGAGGGATAATTACAACAAAAACCTCAAACCTTTAAAACACTAGCGGACTTTCTTCAAACCTTTAATTTGTTGCAACCGTCACCCTAACATTTTCAAACATCACAGATGATGCCCTTTTGGACAGTTTTCATCCAAAATACCGTCAATTGACTAAAAAATGATTTCTACCACATTTTAACCAACTTTGAAATGGCAAAACGGTAACTATCACATTAACTAATTAAATAATAAACAAAAAAGAAAAGAAATAAAAGAAAAGTCACCCACACCCTGTCCCCACGAAACCCCTAACCACCCCAAACCAATATCCCTTCAATCGTCGACACAAGTATGGTTCAACCACACAAACGATGCCTCACCGCAATCGTTGTTGCCGCCACCAAGTTAAACCGCCAATAGCCACTGCAACTATCCCAAAAAAATGGCAACATGCTTCAACACCTGAACCCTTCTAAACCGAAATCGCCAACCTCCGAAAAGCCAACTGCTAGCTCAAAGTGCCATATGCATGAATTTCCTGTCCAAATCTTAGTGCCAACATATGTTGACAAGAAGCGTGGATGCTAGAAATACAATCAAATTTAGTGAGGTCAACGCAAAAATAAAATAAAATTAGTGAGGTCTATGCTAAAACATTTGGTTGAGGCAATCTTTCACATGAGGGATGCTTCTATGTCATTGCAATATGTGTAAAACAAAATTAATTTGGTGGTAACAAATGGATTTTGGTGTAGCCTTTGTACTATGATTTGCTGATGGGTGTGTTTTACTGTGTTCAACGATCTGGAGTTGATGCAGAGTTGAAGTAAATGGTTGAAATTGGGCAAGGCATGGTAAAGGACGGAAATTTCATTTAACTTTTTCCTAGGAAATAACGCTGATTTTGAACTAATAGAATTTGGAGGCGAATAAAAAATTTGCTTGATTTGGTTATGAAGTGCTTGAAATTTTTATTTATATATCATTTTTGTTTAAAAAATCATTGCCTAAGAAGAAAACGGGAGAACTACAGGAGAAAGAAGAAGAAGAAGGGAGTTTGGGTTTGGGGAGGTTAGGGGTTTCATTCTTTTATTTTCTTTTCTTTTTTGTGTATTATTTAATTATTTAATGTGATTAATAGATAGTTACCATTTTGCCCTTTAAAATTGATTAAAATGCTGTCAAAATCAATTTTTTGAGTCAACTGATGGTATTTTGGATGAAAACGTCCAAAAGAGCCTCACCGACAATGGTTGAAAAAGTTGGGATGACGGCTACAATAAATCAAAGGTATATGGAAAGTCTGCTAGTGTTTTAAAGGTTTTGGGCTTTTGCTGCAATTATCCCAAAAATTAAAATAGGGATCCTACGTTGTGAACTAGTTATTGAGCCCGAGATATGAAGACATTCAAATTCCTATATCAATCGAACACTTCGCTTCACTCATTACAAAGCATGTACAACTAATCCACCCATGCAAGGTATTATACCACACTGTTAACAGTTGGCTGCATAACATTGCCCTCTATCATTAGGGGCATTCTATCTAAGAAACCATTTAACTATCATACCTTAATTCCATTATCCAATTCCAATCTTAAAATATATTCAGACATTTCAAGATAGAGGACTAACAAATAAGGATACAGTAAGAAAGTAAGTAGTTGCACAATAGTACGATAACAGCATTTGTTATGCAAACTCATAATTAATTGCAAGTGAGCAAAGAACTACTATGACAATCTAAAAAGAAAAGGGTTCTTCTCTGTCACTAAGTATAATTATTTCTTCAGGTTTCAATGAAATATGATCTCGATGGAGAATGGCCAACCGATGGTAGGAACTGTAGATAAAACCTCTCCAATGTGAAGCTTATAAAGTATAGTTGTTTTTCCAGCAGCATCCAGCCCAAGCATCACAACCTACACCATTTCAAACAAGAATCACAACCATGACGCCAACAGCACATGATAACAATTTAGAGGGTCACGGCACTTACAAGCATAATGATTCAATGTCTTCATAAATAATATGAAATTATCAGAAAAAAATATTTTATTAATGATAACAGTGATGTTGATGAAGAAGTATATATTTCTATGCATTAGCAGTCTATATTTCTCTGTGTGAAACCTTTCACTGACTGTAAAAATAGTAATCTTTTTCCGTTATGATTGATAATATATTAGCGTATCTTGTTCGTCATTCAGAGGAGTTACTCCATTAGAAGAATATATTTTCTTGTCCGGCACTGCTGTAGACAGTAAGCTAATCTTCCCAGTGTGTGCGCATGGGGATGCATACATGTGTGTGCTTGTCTTTGCATTATTTTGATGATTATAGAGACTCTGGCTCAGGCTCTGGGACTTAACTTTCTTATCGTTGGAGTTGCCTTCTTCGAACCTGCCTCCACCTTCGTGCTGGAGGCTGCTTAGTGGAAGTGTTGTCTTCTGTGGGGAAGCCACCACCTTCCAGCTAGAAGCTTCTTAGTCACGGGTGTTGCATTCTTGGGAGATAGTGTAACCGTAGCAGTTGGATTTAACTTGGTAGTCAGCTTAGCTCTCGTAGTGGCTGATTTAGAAGGGTGGTGTATTTTTCTTTGGACTTGGCTTCTGGTTTTAGCTAGATAATCAGCTTAGATTTTGCAATGGCCGACTAAGAAGGGCATTTACTTTTCCTTGGACTTGGCTTTGAAAAAAGCAACTCTGGCCTCTCCTTAGCCGGAGCAATGGAAGAAACTCGGGACCTAGTGAACAAGCTAGTGCTAGTAGTCTTTGATTTAGTGGTTCTCTAATCATAGGCTAGGCTACTACATCTCCCTCTCACACTGGGTATCATTGGCCAGAAATGAATCATCTTCTTGTGCTCTAGTATAGCCCTTCTCTAATTACGAGTCTTGTTTCGTTAGGTTCTTATACACAAGGCCGGGACCACCCTTTAGTTCCCAAACTCCAACTGTACTCCGTTGCACCATTTTGAGTTTTAGTATGTTGACCTATATTAGTGTATCTTTAGCCCACATGGACACTTGAATAATTTTTACAGTCCCATAATCCCATTAGTATACATTTCCTTCTTCAGCATCAAACATGGACAGTGTTGAACTCATTTCAGTCTGTATATAAGTAGGATTCTTTGTACTATTTCATTCATAAATAAAAACTATCTCACGTGCAATTAAACGCAAAAATTAGCAGCCTGAAGGCGGCTCTAGAATTCCCCAGTCAAATAGCACTACCAAAAAGCATTGCAAACAAAGTGGAAAACTATAATCAGACGTAAACTACCCACAATTAGATACAATAATTTCCCAATCTAATATTTAATATAACTAGTTTAATCTGGACAATCATAACGCGAAGCAGCACTTATTTGTCAAGCCAGGCTAGGAGCTGCAAACCTGAGCTCGTAAACTTAATTTAGAAAAATGTCACAAATACGCAACATATATAAAAATTAAAAATTAAAAGTGTTTGGAAATCAAAAAATTTAGCGTACCCGCATCTCAGAATTGCCGAAGAAAGTGTCAAAGAGCCTGCGAAAAGCTTGACCCATTCCAGTTTCTCTATTATATTCCCCTTTCTATGACTAAAAACCTGAAATCTGAGAGAAAATTCAAGGATCGGAGAAAGAAAAGCTTAATTTTTTTCCCTATTAGGAGTAAATTTGATGATCAGAGAACAGTATAGTACGCGTGATCGAATGAAATTTTTTATGACAAAAAGACGTGTGCGATATTCCTTTATATGGGTAGCGTTTGTTTTGTTAGACTTCTGAAACCTTATTACTTTCTCATACTGAGCCCTCAAATTTTTCAAAATGTGACATCCTCATCTTGAATTAACAAAATATTTAGGAAAAATTGCAGCCAAAGTACCAAACCTTTCATTTATTAGCAGACTTTGCCCAAACATTTGATTTGTACCAACGTGAGTACCAAACCTTTAAGAAATATGCAACTCAAGTCCAAAATGACGGTTTCTATCTGTTTGATCTCAAAATCCGTCAGTTGACCCCAAAATCCTTCAATTGACCATAGAAATTAAAAATTTAATAATTTGACCACATAAGACAGGGCTAAAATGGTCATTTTACCATTTTAATATTAATTAATTAATTAAACTAATACACACACACACACGCGCGCGTACGTACAACCTCTGTATGTATTTCTTCTTTCTTCTCATCCCACCTACCCAGTAATGGGGAAAACCAGTCTCACCATATGCCACCAGCCACCCACCGTCGGTAGTGCCACCACCGTCCAGTCATACCCGTAAATCATTGCCCCCACTCCCACCCGTAAAAAATTTGAAGTAAAAACTTCTCATTATCAAATCTCAAGTTCCCCATGAAACATGAATGGAAAATATTTAGGAGATTTAGAAATTGGAAAAGGAGCAATTTCTGATTTCCAATTCCAGGGTTCTTTGTGAGTTTTGATTTGATAGAAATGAATTACAGAAACTTTCAAGGGATGAAAATTAGGGTTTGAAAAATATGATTTCCTTAAGTGGTGGGTAGTTGTAGCACACGATGGTGGGTGTTTGTAGCACGCGATGGTGGGTGATTGTAGCAAGCGATGGTTGATGGTGCTGTGTTTTGGTAGGATTGAGGGATGGGGGTCGGGGTTGTTGGAGAAGATGACCAATTTTCCTTTTTCCTTTTTTTTTGTTTTATATTAAAATGGTAAAATGACCATTTTAGCCTTGTCTTATGTGGTCAAATTATTAAATTTTTAATTTCTGGGGTCAACTGAAGGATTATGGGGTCAACTGACGGATTTTGAGGTCAAACAAATGGAAACCGTCATTTTGGACTTGAGCTGTATATTTTTTAAAGGTTTGATACTCACGGTGGCACAAATCAAATGTTTGGGCAAAGTCTGCTAATAAACGAAAAATTTGGTATTTCTGTTGCAATTTTTTCAAATATTTATTTGAACGACAAATGTGTCAACATAACACTCACATAATATTAGCCTAAAATTATTCAATTTTTTTTTTTATTTCAATACAATTGAAACTATTAGCTTCCACTTTTAAGGTTACGATATGCACGACACATCTCATTGCTTTA